TTTAAAGCCAATAACCTGCTGCAGGTGAGGGTTACCAATGGCATGGCCAACCGTATTGCAGACCTGGACAGGCGCGGCGTGGCATGGAAGAAATTTTACAATACCAATTTCCCGGCCAGGCTGGCAAAGAACAGGGGTGCAGATGGATTGTTCACCGCTGCCAAATGGGAGCCGAAGCCCGCAGGTTTATTGGGTCCGGTTAGCCTGCAGCCTGTTATATTTGTACCATAAATTTTTTCACCCGTAAAATTATTATCATGAAACAATTGCTTGTCATTTTATTATTGGTTACCAGCCTTGGAAATACCCTGTATGCGCAAACCAAAGACGAGAAGGCTGTAGCGGATGCAGTTGAGCAGCTGCGAAAGGCGATGCTGGATCCTGATAAGGCTGCGCTGGAAAACCTGACCATGCCTGAATTGAGCTATGGGCACTCCGGCGGCAAGGTGGAAGACCAGGCAGCTTTTGTAAATGCATTGGTAAGCGGTGCTTCTGATTTTATTACCATAGAATTATCGCAACAGACTGTGAAAGTGGTAGGTAAAACAGCTATTGTGAGGCATATGTTGAATGGTACCAATAACGACGGCGGCAAACCGGGCGTAGTAAAAATTGCAGTACTGCTTACCTGGGTAAAGCAGGGAAAGGAATGGAAATTGTTGGCAAGACAGGCAGTGAAAATTCTAAGTTAGTGTAGCCTTTTCAGCATGAAAACAAAAATAATTGTGGTAATCTGCATGACGGTGATTACCGCTTATTACGCGGAGGCCCAAACTGCCATGGCGAATGTGTATGGCCGTAAAACAGTATCGCTCAACGGTCAATGGAAAGCTATTATTGACATCAATGATGTGGGTATCGGCGACTGGACGGCCATCTGGAAAGACAAAACTCCCAAAGGCAAAACGGACTTAGTTGAATATAGTTTTGAGAATGGTCCCGTGCTGAACGTGCCCGGAGATTTCAACGCACAGTTGCCGGAACTGAATTATTATGAAAGTACTGTATGGTACAAGAAAAATTTTAGCTGGAAAAAAAACAATAAACGGCTTTTCATTCACTTCGGTGCTGTAAACTATGTGTGTGATGTAGTATTGAACGGTGAAAAAATAGGTCATCATGAAGGCGGTTTTACACCTTTTCAGTTTGAGATAACAGGCAAAGTGAAGGAAGGAGAGAATGCGGTGCTGGTAAGGGCCAACAGTAAGCGGGTGAAAGATGGCATACCGGCGCTTGGGTTCGACTGGTTTAATTATGGTGGTATTACAAGGGATGTACAGCTGGTAGAAACACCGGCTGCTTTTATAGAAGATTATTTTATTCAACTGCAGAAAGGCAGCAGCAACCAGGTAAATGGCTGGGTGAAAATCAACAATGCCGCGGTTCCGCAACCGCTGCATATCCAGATACCCGAAGCGGGGATAAATTATGCTATGCCTGCTGGAAGTGGTACAATACCAATTTCGTTTCCCGCAAAGCTGGTACTGTGGACGCCAGAGACCCCCAAACTGTACAAGGTTATTATCAGTACGCCAACAGACACGGTAACAGAATTGATTGGTTTCAGGAATATTGAAGTAAGGGGAACGGATATACTGCTAAATGGGAAACCCATCCTGCTGAAAGGTATCAATTTTCATGAAGAAGCTCCCTCACGAAGGGCACGTGCAAACAATGAAACAGATGCGCTCGAAATACTTACCTGGGCAAAAGAGCTGGGTTGCAATTTTGTGCGCATGGCGCATTATCCCCACAACGAATATGAATTGCGGCTGGCAGAAAAAATGGGGTTAATGATATGGGAAGAATTGCCGGTGTACCAGAGCATTGCGTTCAGCGATACCAGCATGCAGGCAAAAATGAATTACATGCTGCGTGAAATGATACAGCGCGATAAGAACCGCTGTGCCGTTATTGTATGGAGTATGAGTAATGAAACCAGCCCCGGGAAAGACCGGGACGCTGCCATTGGCGGCATGGCAGCATTGACAAAAACACTTGACCCCACCCGCCTGGTATCTTCTGCACTGAACCAGGTGCAGTTCCGTGATACCGTGGCTACCATCAATGATACGCTGGTAAAAGCACTTGACCTGATAGCGGTTAACCAATACCTGGGCTGGTACCGGCCATGGCCGGCTGCACCCGGCACCATGCAATGGAAATCTGTTTTCAACAAGCCACTTGTATTCAGTGAATTTGGTGCAGAGGCCTTAGAGGGCAATCATGGTACCGCAGATACGGCCAGCAAATGGACAGAAGAATTCCAGGAGCAGGTGTACAAGGACCAGGTAGCCATGTTTAAAAAAATCCCCTTTCTTAAAGGCTATTGTCCCTGGATACTGGTTGATTTCCGTTCACCGGTGAGAATGCATCCCGTTTATCAGAAAGGCTGGAACCGCAAAGGGCTGCTGGGCGATAATGGAAAAAAGAAAAAAGCCTGGTATGTGATGAAACAATTCTATGATCAGCTGAAATAATTTATTGAATGTATACCACAATGTACTCCTGCAGCCGATTTCTGTTTATTTGTATACTGGCATTGATGCCGCCCCTGCTGATGGCACAATCACCCGCACCAAAACCCCTGTACAGCGACCCTGTTTATGATGGTGCTGCAGACCCGGTAGTCATTTACAATAAGCAGGTAAAAAAATGGTGGATGTTTTATACCAACCGGCGTGCCACCATTGCAGATACTACCGGCGTGGCCTGGGTGCACGGTACAGGTATTGGCATAGCCGAATCGGCAGATGGCAGGCACTGGAAATATTTGGATACGGCAAATATCAACTACCGGCCCGACAGCGGTTATACTTTTTGGGCGCCGGATATTGCTGAGTACAAAGGTGTTTATCACATGTACCTTACTTATGTACCTGGTATCTTCAGCAACTGGAACCATCCGCGTGATATT